GGTATCCACAGCGAGCATGTGCCATCAAACGTCAATAGGTTTCAGTGTGTGTGTGTGTGTGTGTGTGTGTGTGTGTGTGTGTCTCTGTCGCACTGACAAGAAGAGGTTATGGACTATTAAAAAATGAACATGATGAGAAAAGCTACCTCAAACACAAGCTATACATGACACGTATCAGTCAAATTTGGTTTAAAATGATTAATTCTAGATTAACAGTTGAACTGCACCCTTGTGAATTGGTCATAATATCCCTTATTATCTATGACGCTATATAATGACGCTGAATATGTCAATCAGGCTGACATAGAGACTTCGAGGATTTCACTGACGGGAGCTGGTCCACCTTTAGGGATCAGATACTGATTTCCTGGGACGAAGTTTCTTGTGTTGAAGACGACAAGGTGTAGCTAGCCTGCCTGTCTCGTGGTGTTACTTCATGCAGTACAGATGCCCAAAACAAGCGTCACAGTTTTCCAGCCTTCTTGAGGATATTTTTCCCGATTTGAGCATACGTTCCAGTCGACGCCAGCAGGGTACCCTGGCTCGTGTATTCGCCATAAGGCTTGGGAAAGGTGAGATGAACAGACAACGTTTCTACGTTCCACTCGATGAAGAAAGACAGAGCATCGTCATTCATGTAATATTCGTTGTAATCTTTGTACCACGGCGGGTGACATCTGTGCTTATAGCACAGCACCTGCAGCTGTCTGTCGGCAAACAGGACATGAGGAAAGCGTTCATACACTCTGTATGGCAGACACCCCGAGTTGTAGATCCAGTGGTTGTCACGGTAGTCCTTCATTGTCAACAAGAATTCTTGCACGAACTTGGAGTGCTTCTTGGCTATGAATACTCCAATGTTGAACGTTTCCGGCCAAACTTGGGCTTTGACCCACTCAAACCCCATAACAGAATCATAGGCAAGATGAGAGTCTTGAATAGGTTTTGTCCATAGTACATCCGGGTCCTGGTTAACTCCGCCATATTTGTCTAGAATGTATAGTTTCACAACATCATTGGCGTGAGCTTTGTTCTGCACGACATTCCCGAACACAAATTCGGGCAGTTCCATAAACACGTGCGTCACATTTTCCTCCCTCTTTAGCGTCTCCCAGAATTCCCCCAGAGGTTCACAGTCTCCGTGGAAGTACACGTGATGCAAGTCAGCGACGTACAGTGCACTGAGGACGCTAAGATAATGGGCGTACGTCAAGGTTCTCTTCCCGAACCATATGTAATGAGAAATCCTCGGCGCAAGAACTGTGAAGTTTTGCTGTAAATGTATTACATCGGAATTACCATAGAATAAAAGTCGAGCAAGCTTTCCAAAATTGATATCGATGTACCAGATATCTTTGGGTCTAACCGGCAAATTGACAACAACGGCTAAACAACGCTCTAGTGAAACCTCGTATTCAAACATAGAACAAGCTCTCATATTACTGGAGCTAAAGTTCTGTGACCTGTCAACTGTGTTGACTTTTGCGCCGGGAACGATACCAATAAACCCATCCAAGCTTTTATCTAAATATTCATTTTTAACTATCTGTTCATGTTTATTGGTAGCGCGAAATGAAAACAATAGGTGCATCTGCTTAGCCTGGGTGGGAAACTGTCTGATCACTGTGTTTTCTCCCACGTAGAGGCCGCCATGTTTTTGTAGATACCCCAGTACTGTGTTGAGCTTGTCCTGGGCACTGTTTCTACACGAGGTGTCAGAGGTCATCTCGTCCAGCACGAGATAAGGGATGGTGGCGACAAGGTCACGGAACCAGGAGTTGTACTCGAGTGGATCCAGCACTGGGTAGTCGGTGTAGTGGAACACGATCTTCAGGGGCTTCACAATCTTTACAACACTAAGGACGCTTAAATAATTGTGGAACTCAAACATTTTCCGCTCGCACCAAAAGTAATGAACTGTCCTTGAGTTCACGTCGGGAACTGGGTACACCTCTGCAAGATCAGTCTGAACTTTGGTGCGTGACGGCGTCGAGTGAGCAGATTGGCATCTCTTGACACCGGGGTTCCTGTCGGCGAGGTATATGAAGGAGAGTAATGACACTGTCAGCCCAATGGACACCAGGAGCAGCACACCTTTACCTCCCTTCTCCGACACCATCTTGACCAGATCTGAAAGAAATATTCCTATTTTAAATGACTAGGCGTTATGCATTACTACTGGCATACAGTGTTTGCCCTTAACCCTGAAACAGCAGACAGTAAGGACCCAGAACCAGAAAAGGCTGTGGGTCCTGATCTGAATGTAGGCGATATAGTTTAGTATGGAAATAATACTCCTTAGCTTGGGGGGATGAAAAATGCTGTCGGCCATAAGGACCTGCAGAAAACAAAAACTATGGGTCCGAATGGTTTTCAGTCGGCTTCGGGCCTAAGGACAGACGTTAATTTCGAACGCTGCTGGCATAGTAGAAACCGTATCAGTGGCCTTCTAGATGATTTCATTTATTGAAACTACCTGGCTCATGTTCCAAACTGACCAGAACTTCTGTCTCATTTGTCTGTTTAATATATTCGGTAACATCCCACTGTACCTTCAGACCCAGTGTGCCTACACCCTGGTGTGCCTACAGAAAAGCCATCTTGGGTATTCCGGGTAAGAATAGGTACCGAGAAGCCTTTGCTGGTCGTGAAAGACGACTGAATCGGTCAGGTGGTCAAGCTCGGTGACTTTGATGATTGGGTGTCTTCGTACCCCGTCCGTGTTGATCATTGCTCATTATATCGACCACTGGTTTGGGGGCAGTTATCTACATACCATCGTCACATAGCTGGAAGGTGGCTTTGTGCGGCGACGCAAAATTGGTCCGTTGGAAGTGCGTACATTGTGTCTGGGCGAGTGTGCATGTGTGACTGTGGCATGAAGTCTCATTTGACGAATACAATAAACACGGTATAAGGCCGAGAAAGAATAACACTAACACACACACACACACACACACACACACACACACACTGATCATGCGCGCACACGCAAACGGACACGACCTTTGAACCCACACGTGCATGCTCGTCCCTATATGAGTAAAATATGTTGAAAGGGACGTTAAACTCCCTTTCAATCTACGCGCCAGTTTAACTGTGTACATGATATCGGTAATAGGCAGTGTTTCAAGGTCACATGCGATAAAACCCATGCCAACGCATATATATACTTCTACTATATTTCTGAGACAAGAGACAACGTTTCACGGTTTTGAGAGACAAAATGTTTAGTTTGCAACTGACCTCATTGGCTTTGTGTATTCATAGCAACTGACCTGTATAGTTTTGTGCAGAGCTCCTTCTTTCGTTCGTGTGACGAGCGTCGAGTTCAGAAGTGTGACTGAATAGGTCCTGCGCCAATATCGCATCACTCCCAGACCAGGGGATGTCAAGGTCGGAGAGCTGACGGCAACAGATGCAGACACGGGCACTATCGGGTCAGCCATCTCCACTATGGTAACTCTTGTATGTGTGAAATCAAATATAAATTCTGTCTCAAGTTGTTATCAAACGATTTAATCCGAGATGAGAGTTCCAAGTGCCGCAATCACAGAGGGAGCCTCACAGGAACTGCACGACACTTTGGCCAATAGTATTTCTAAACCTGGGACTGGGTATGTTCTCCATAATATAGCTTTGTTTTCATCAATCATAGTTTCACTTCGTAGTTATATCGCACCGTACATGTTGTACTACCATAGCATTTGGTCATCAAGGATCCATGTTTCCATTGAGGTGAGTCCCAAGATGTGCCCAGGCAACGTGTAAGGGCTGAATTTCCCATAAATCATAAAAAATTCACACATTTTATAATGCATTTTGTTTCACGAGTGATCATACTTCATGACACAGTAATGATGTGTTTCATGGGTGATCATTCTTTGTAAGGCAGTACTGACGTGTTTAATGGACGCTCGTTCTTTTAAAAGCAGTAATGACGTGTTTTACGGGTGATCATTCTGTGTAAGGCAGTACTGACGTGTTTAATGAACGCGCGTTCTTCGTAAAGCAGTAATGACGTGTTTTACGGGTGATCATTCTTTGTAAGGCAGTACTGACGTGTTTAATGGACGCGCGATCTTCGTAAAGCAGTAATGACGTGTTTTACGGGTGATCATTCTTTGTAAGGCAGTACTGACGTGTTTAATGGACGCGCGTTCTTCGTAAAGCAGTAATGACGTGTTTTACGGGTGATCATTCTTTGTAAGGCAGTACTGACGTGTTTAATGAACGCTGTTCTTCGTAAAAGCAGTAATGACGTGTTTTACGGGTGATCATTCTTTGTAAGGCAGTACTGACGTGTTTAATGGACGCGCGTTCTTCGTAAAGCAGTAATGACGTGTTTTACGGGTGATCATTCTTTGTAAGGCAGTACTGACGTGTTTAATGAACGCGCGTTCTTCGTAAAGCAGTAATGACGTGTTTTACGGGTGATCATTCTTTGTAAGGCAGTACTGACGTGTTTAATGAACGCGCGTTCTTCGTAAAGCAGTAATGACGTGTTTTACGGGTGATCATTCTTTGTAAGGCAGTACTGACGTTTTAATGGACGCGCGTTCTTCGTAAAGCAGTAATGACGTGTTTTACGGGTGATCATTCTTTGTAAGGCAGTACTGACGTGTTTAATGGACGCTCGTTCTTCGTAAAGCAGTAATGACGTGTTTTACGGGTGATCATTCTTTGTAAGGCAGTACTGACGTGTTTAATGAACGCGCGTTCTTCGTAAAGCAGTAATGACGTTTTTACGGGTGATCATTCTTTGTAAGGCAGTACTGACGTGTACGTCGTCCTGTTTTAATGCAATTCGATAGTGTTCTTGGGCTGAGATTGTTTAGATAATTCTGATCTGACATTATTCGTGTGTTCCAGGTATGAGGACGTTGATGAAGGTGGCAATGCTGACGCTGTTATCGTGTGCTAACGCGTCTGTGGTCGTTCTCACGCACTATGTACGTACACGTAAGGGCGCCATGTTTTCCGCTTCGACGGCGGTCATGATGGCAGAGCTTGTGAAGGTCGGCGCCTGTCTACTAGTTACGTTCCTACGACATCCGTCTAAATGGCTGTCTAACGTCTACTCCATCACACTTGGAGGTCTGCGGGAATGGGCGCGGGTGTCCGTTCCTGCCACGCTGTACGCCGTCCAGAATAATCTAGTCTTCTTTGCATTGTCAAATCTCAACTCAGTGGTGTTCCAGGTAGGCAAACATATGACGCTTTAACTCACAATCGTTGATTAGCTTTTAAACAGAACATTTGTATTTGTGTAAATTTTGTGACAATCACGATTCAAATATATAAACTATTTCGACAGTACTCGTGTTTCAAAAGCTGTGGCCTAGTCGTCTACAGATCACAATTCGCTATGCAGAGTTGCCTCCCATACACACGCCAGGAACACAGGTCGCTCTGATTATGTTTGTAGATTCGTCAGTATCATACCCACACACGTGTGTTTCTCCAAATTGGTAAGTTTACGTGTGAGATGTCCATCACTATTCTTTCATATCACTTACTGACACGACGTGACTGGAATCCTGCTGAACCCAAGTTTAACTTACTCGCTCGCTCACAAAGCTGTGGCTTAAGGTCTAGATAGAGGAAAATGTCTCAACGCATGTTTTTAGTATATTTTTGCGCCGTGTACCGTCGACTACTTAACTTCGTGAATTCTTGTCAAAGCTTCGAATCTACATCTTCCTTACCACAGCTCCTCATAAATCCATATTTAACGTGAGTTATAAATGAAATATCCCACCTAATGTCGTCCGGTCTGGTACCATATTAATAATCATAAAAAAGCCATGCAGTCTCTATTATCCGCCAAACTAGATTTCAAAGGCAAAATAGCAGCGAAAACCGTGTTAACGGGTAACTGAAAGTCAGTGATGACTGCCTGGGTTCGTGGAAGGGCCATCATGGTTTGCGCTACCGTTTGAAATCCACTCGTTAAATACAAACGAGAAACGAGTGTGTGTTTTTTTATACATCTCTGTACAAATTGTCTCCTGGATTTCTATAAACTGCATGGTTCGTTTTGTTCCATAAAAATGTTTATACAGTTTTACCTCTGTTGAACCTTTACAGGTAACCTATCAGCTAAAGATACTGACTACGGCTCTTTTCTCGGTTCTGATACTCCGGAAGACGCTTTCTAAAACACAATGGCTTTCTCTACTGCTGCTGTTTGCTGGAGTGGCCATAACACAAATCAAGGTAGATCACTCTCAGCACACTCACACAGCCCACAACGCAGAAGCCATTGCACTAGCAGCAGTGATAGGAGCAAGTGTTCTGTCTGGATTTGCGAGCATCTACTTTGAGAAGATTCTCAAGGGGGGAAGTCAGTCTGTCTGGGAGAGGAATATCCAACTTGGCATCCCTGGGGCAATGTGTGCGACGGTAACATTGTTTGTGAAAGATGGGCATTCCCTCATGGACCAAGGTTTCTTTCATGGCTACGACAGTTGGGTGTGGTTGCTTATACTCCTGCAGTCCCTTGGTGGGCTCCTCGTGGCTCTTGTTGTGAAGGTCATGGACAATATTCTGAAGACGTTTGCGATGGCTTTAGCTATACTCTTGTCCTGTGCCGCCTCTTTCTTTCTGTTTCGCACAGGCATTACTATTGAAACCGCGGTCGGGGCACACCTGGTCATAATGGCAATGTTTTTGTATGGCTATAACGCAGCAAGACTTGATTCTACTAGATATACAGTCAAACAGACACATAGCAAACTAACAGTAGCAAATATGAGCTGACACGACAGGCCTGCAGCCAGCATCTAAACGCGTCCAGCAACGCAAGTCACTACGAAAAGGTAGACGTGATAACATTACAAGTATAACAACACTATTTGTACTGACAAAAACAGCACATGTACTGTGCTAACAGCTTTTGGTTCTTGTGATGTAAGTGATGTGTACATTTGTGCAACTAAAGATATACAATAAAATATTATAGGAGAATGTTTCTTTTCTAAGGTCTTGATACAATCAAATAATTACACATTAGGTTGGTTTGTTCGTTGGTTAATGCCTCACTCAGCAGTTTTGCAGCTATATGGCGGAGGTGTGTAAGTAATCAAGACCTGACCAAACATACAAGTGATCAACAGCATGAGCATCACTACAATGGGATACAATGACGTGTCAAACAAGTCCGTGATTCGGACCACACAGTCCGGCTTTTCACCACAGGTGTGCTGTTCGGTAATTTGTTACCACTGGTAGTTATACATTTTCGTAGGGTTTTAAAGGAGTTTGAAAGGACAAGATATTTCTTTTAATTCCTTACAGTAAGGTCCTTACGAACTTGCATCATCATTGCCTTGGGGCTCAAACATTTGATAACTTACTAGGATATAGTTCTAAATCATATATTGGTTCTAGACGTGCTAGCTGAAACAACATAAATTCTGCATACCAATTAAGACAAATATTGCTAAAAATGCTAAAAAAGAAACTTACTCTTAACACAGCTATTAAGTAGTGAGCAAACACCAATGATGATGAGACTTAAACTTCTCAAAAGATCCTGAAGGACATCCAATTCTTTCACATGTTGCTACAGTGGAATTGTCATGCCATGACTTCAGCCCCAAACAGCAGCCAGCCAGTTGGATTACTCTGGTCACGTGACCTTGTAAACATGCATGTTGTCAGTCGGGTCACTCTGGTCATGTGACCTTGTAAACATACGTGTTGTCAGTCGGGTCACTCTGGTCATGTGACCTTGTAAACATACATGTTGTCAGTCGGGTCACTCTGGTCATGTGACCTTGTAAACATACATGTTGTCAGTCGGGTCACTCTGGTCATGTGACCTTGTAAACATACCTGTTGTCAGTCGGGTCACTCTGGTCATGTGACCTTGTAAACATACATGTTGTCAGTCGGGTCACTCTGGTCATGTGACCTTGTAAACATACCTGTTGTCAGTCAGGTCACTCTGGTCATGTGACCTTGTAAACATACATGTTGTCAGTCAGGTCACTCTGGTCATGTGACCTTGTAAACATACATGTTGTCAGTCAGGTCACTCTGGTCATGTGACCTTGTAAACATACCTGTTGTCAGTCAGGTTACTCTGGTTTCATGACCTTGTAATGTTACTGTCTGGAACGGCAACATCCAGACTCAAGTAAGTTAAGAAATAGATTATCCTCAGAGATATGGATGCCTTATGAATGGACTCGGGGACCCAGTTCAACATAGCTAGACCTGTATGTTGAATGTCCAAAGTCACAGCAACATAGCACTCAAACAGACACTTCAACAGTTATGATTTATTCATCTACATGCACAAGGCAACAGTATAAAATGTTTATAAATATTTCATATATTATGATAACATACATCAGTTATGACTAACAAAGCCGAGCACCTCGTTAGTATCCATGCCAACTGCTGTCACAGATACCCGGCAGTACTGTGGTCTGGTTCAATTGGCTAAACATACAAAGGCACATAAAAGTCATGTTAAAGACAGCAGCTAACACATAGTCTACATTGGGAGAAACGGAGTATACAGGCAGGGGCTACACAAGACAGGTGGGATAGGGTATCCAAACCCTCTCTTATGAGGGTCCAGGCTGTAGGGATCATCAACTACTGTTAGGGTCAAGGTTTTTATGCCACAAACTGTCTTTGATCCCCAACTCTTGTCAATGCTATGATCACTAAGCTGATTATCCCTCTATGCAGCTGTTCGGGCTTCAGCAAGCGAACCTTCTTCCTATATTTCCGTAGCCTTCAATGCTGTTCCTATCCTCCAGGGGCTGGGTGAAGCAGGGAGAACATTCTTTATACTAACTTTCACTACCTTGAAGGATTCAGTAGGTTTCATTTTATGAATTAACATGTTTAAGAGGTATTCAACCTTTCCAGCTAAAAGATCCACAATTACACAATATCGTACACAAACCACTCACACTAGGGACATGCTGACATCATTCCCTCTTCTACATCACTTCCATCTGTACAATGTCATGGAATAATGGCAGTGTTTATTTTGTATGACTGTATACAGTCTCTGCAAACCTACTGAAGGTCCCACTGTGCCTACTTGCTGTATTCCATAACACTGGCATCTGCAAGCTTGTATAGATGACTGCTGTGAGATGTATGATGTACTAGAGTAACTAATATAGCGTCATTACGTCCCTATGTCAATTGTAATCCTATGATAAACTATATCGTTACGATCGCTCGTAATGCTAAACAAGCTTGTGGATAGGGACCCAGAGATGGAAGTGTTTCCTCCAACATGGCTCAGAGGGGGGCTCTATCAGAGGCTGAGTGACTAACATGTTGATATTCCTACGGGATACATGGACGATGCATGCAATATATCATTGAAAGATAAATGCTGAGTTATTTGTGGCTGCAGATCACAGTTGGGAAGATCATTTGGGTTTAACACGGCTGATCTTCTTGGACTTGTCGGTTGTCTTTGGAGGTAGCTGTGCGCCTGCTGCAATATGGCGGCCGTACAAGCTGAAACACAAACAGCTGGATGAACACGTCTGAATCAACACGTCTAGGGTATAAGTGTCAGATTAAATAAATATGTTCATGTGTGCCAGGTTGAGCAAAGACACGCGCAACTTATAGTCATAGGATTGAATATATACAGTCACAAGTGGTAAGATCTTATGGATACACCCAAATTTTAAAGCAATCAGATTGATGAAATACACTCAAAGGTTACTAATATCAGATTGAATGCATTTACTCACCATCCATAATTATCAGATAAAACATATCCCTGCTCATAAGTATCAGATCAAACACTAGCTCTTGCCATTTATCACTGATTATATGTCAGATTATATCTACACTCACAATTTATAAGTATCAGATCTGATGTAGTCGAACACATGGGACACGCCCACTTGGAACTGGTCAGCAATGGGGGTCACCCAGGGGTTATTTTCAGCCTTGAACACCTGCTTCATGCCCACAAGGTCAAGGTTGCCTGGAACAGCAAGCAGCCACAGTGACGATGGAATCCGACAACATGGAGAGGAGATCAAAATAGGTTGATATTATACTGAATATGAAATTTCCTTATCAACTTTGTGATTTGTAATTAGGGGTTGCAGAAGTGAGGGGTATGATGAAGGAGAAGGGAGGTCAAGGTTGGCACGGAAAGGTCAAGGTGACTGGTGAGAGTTGAGGTGGGGTAAGATCAAGTTGAGGTTAGGAGAGATCAAGGTCCTTTAGGGGCAATACACTTGTCAGTTGACCTAAGTTCCCAAGTCCCTCAAAGTCCCTTAGGTCAGGCTTCCTATACTACTCACCCAGCTCTGGTGGCAGGACAGTGAGTCGGTTTCCTTGGATGTGCAGCTCGAGGAGCCGAATCAAGTCCCCGATTTCTTTGGGCAGCATGACCAGATCATTCTCCCTCAATGAAAGCTGCAGAACCAGGGAGGGGAGGTAAGTTCACATTTCAAGCCTCTCTCTGTACACTTAGATAAGTTTGTGAACAGAATTGCTATTCAAATTTATTTCAAATATTAACGTTACTGACAATTCAGTAATATCTGCTCCCCAACAAGCTCAACTAAACACTGTCCAGGATGTTTATAATTTAAAAACCTTTTAAAATTTCATACACTTATTTTTTTCAAAACATCAATTCAACACTATGGAGGAAGAGTTTCATAAAACATTTGTTTGACAGAGAGTGTTAATCCAACACAAAAAATCCTCATATTGTGACACTGATACTTCATGCACACCAACTGAAATACTTACAACTTGCAAATTCTTAAGTCTGCCAATTTCAGGGGGTAAAGTTTCGAAGTCATTGTCCCCAAAGTACATGGCTCGAAGTGTATCTGAAAGAAGAATAGATGTGTGTTATAGTTCTTACAGGTGACTTACACAATGTCATATACAGAAACCAGTTGATATTTATCAAACACAGATTGTGTCAAATCCTGACACGCCTGACGTAATCCAACACAATGACCAACATCTCCGTGATGAGGCGTATGACATGGAGCTGTGCTTCATGTTCCACTCAAGGTCTCATGAGTAATTACTGCAAAGTGTGTACAACTGATACCTGTCCCCACTGTAACTAGGGTAATATCTAATTGAGACAAAATGATATCATGAAACATAAAATATCAAACAAAGAAGTGTTTTTTAAACAAATTCAAACTTTCAAGGACTGACTATTAGCCCAAGCAGTGTCCCCTCTAATAGACAGACTTACAAGATCACTGACCTGAACCATACACATCATCTAACACAGTGTGACGCAGCACACCAACAAGAGCTACAGACACTGGCCTTGTTGCTCTGATCAAGACATACCCAGACAGAAGAAGTTGCCGGGGAGGCTGTGTTCATTCAGGTTGTTGTATGTTGCATCGAGCACCTCCAGCGAAGGGAAGGCACCAAAACCTCGGGGTAGAGCACTTAGTTTGTTCATCCTGTCAAAAACAAAACATGACCAATATCTATGTTGATTTCTCCCAAATTCATCGTGTGAAAACATTTCTTACTAAAGTATTTAAGACCAGCATGTTAAAAAATGCACAAAGTTGTCAAAACGTTTAAAAACTATTTAAAATCATTGTGTTGGTGTGCCAGTGGGTGTTTGTCGCTGGGTGCACTTGTTGATTCAGGCAGATGACACACAATGACCTCTACAGTTTGATATATCAAGTCAATGCTAAATATGAATTTTGTACACCGACTGAATATATAAAATTGTATTTTCAGCATTCTCATTTAAATGATAATCTTAGAACATTTCACCGGTAAAGAATTATTAAGTTAGTACCAATATTCATAAGTTTCTGTTGAAACTGTACTGATCTCAGGACTTTTCGATACATTGATATGGAGGTATACCATGACATCCCTACTGACAACCACACCAACTTCAGCGTGAACTGTAAACAACACCGACATTGTTCTGAGCTTCATTGAGTTACTTACCCTACGTTTAAGATTTTAAGTTTCGGCATCGTACTCAACGTCGATGGCAGCTCCTGTGAACAACAGTGAAATGATTTAACATATGGTAACACTTCTGAACAGTGTAGTTGTATGTACAAGTAACCTTGACAATCTAAGTTCAAGATGCAGATACACACATTAAGCTGAGAAGTAAGGTGATATTGTCTTATACTGACATTAACACCTGAATTGTTTCACAGTTTGTGTGGATACTGGTAAAGAGACATCTGAATAATCCAATAGTGTGTCTATTATTCATGACATGAATTTCATTCAACATGAATCCTAACAGTAAGCAGCAGCATCAGTAACTACAAATGTCCACAGTCCTACAAAACCCCATGAGTTCCGGGATGGACTTGGACTGTGGACTGTGGGGGACACTTGTGTGGAGTGTTTGGGCACAAGCAGAGGCTGTTGGGGGCACTAGTAGAAACTAATCTAACACTGGCACAGACTCTTTTGGCCACTCGTGTGGACTGTTTGGGGCACTAGTAGAAACTAATGTAACACTGACACAGACTCTTTTGGCCACTCGTGTGGACTGTTTGGGCACAAGCAGAGGCTGTTTAGTAGAAACTAATCTAACACTGGCACAGGGCTGAAAGCAGGGCTGTTGGGGCACTAGTAGAAACTAATGTAACAGCAGACTCTTTTGGCCACTCGTGTGGACTGTTGGGGGCACTAGTAGAAACTAATGTAACACTGGCACAGACTCTTTTGGCCACTAGTGTGGACTGTTTGGGCACAAGCAGAGGCTGTTGGGGGCACTAGTATAAACTAATGTAACACTGGCATAGACTCATTTGGCCACTGGTGTGGACTGTTTGGGCACCACGACAGACAAATGGAGACACTAGTACGAACTAATGTAGCATTGGCATAGACTCTTGGGGGCACGAGTGTGAACAGTTTGAGCACTAGGACAGACTGTAGGGGGCACAAGGATGGTCTAATGTGACTCTAGCAAGGACTATAGGGGCACATGAACAGACTGTTGGGGCATAAACACAGTCTTTCCTTCAGATTGTGTCAAGTTATATGCTTGCATTGTCAGTGCAGCATGCCAGCTGATCATGCCAGTTGCATGTACAAGGGGACCAAATCACCAATACAAACGTTTTCCTCAACATGCCAGCTGTCAGTGGGGCCTAAAAAAAAACAAATGTTGTGGTTCCAAATACCTGACCAACCCTAGAATTCTGGTCCCAACCCTATTTTTTTTAAGCAGTATCAATGAAATAAGCTTTCAGATACCACTGTTTTTTTCCCGGCACCAACAGACATCGGTCATTCTGATAGAGAAAGTCGACATGATGGCCTCAACCTTGATTGCATAAACGATTACACATTGATAACTGCGTTACTAGTTTATACTTTACTTCTGAAAAAAAGAAATCCTACCTACCTACCATAAATCTTAAAGAGGTGTAATCGGAATGGCAACATTTTTGTATTGTTTGGCCTGGGGACCAGTTCCCCAAACCCCAAGAATGTTTACCTAAACTGTGGCTAAAGAAAACAGATGATCAACTTTCTTCTGAGCAGACCCTCACAACAATGATGGACTTACTTCCAGACAGTTGTTGAACAGGTTGAGTATCTCCAGGTTAATGAAGTCTGCAATGTTAGCGGGAATATCTGCAAAGTAGAGATTGGGAAAGTCTACAGTCAGCAGTACGTCAACTGTGTTTTGACAGGTGACAAGCATGGACAGGTTTGGAGCAGGTAAACCATCACAGACTTGAACATGTTGAATTATCATCCTGCATGTGGATTTATAACCAGGGCAGACAATCGTAGAGTGCTCACCCCGTCACAGTCTGCTACTTTAGCCCCTGGTCCTTGTTTAGTCAAATGTCTTTCAATTTGGTAGGCTTTGCTAAAAAAAGTTGTTTGCTTTCTTCATTATTTGAAGTCACACTCAGCAATTTTCGAGTTATATCGTGGCAGCCTGTAAATAATCACGTTTGGACTAGACAATCCAACAGCACAGGCATTCATCTACACAACTGGGATACGATGAAATGTGTCAACCAAGTCAGCAAGTCTGACCACCCGTGACCCGGTCCCATTAGTTGCCTCTTATGACAAGCATGGGTTGCTGAAGACCAATTCTAACCTGGCTCTGCTAAAAAATCCATACATTAACGCCCTGATCTATTGAAAATAATGTTACGTGACAGGTCTGGGCAATTAGACTCAAATGTTCTTGGCAAAGACTGTTCACAGTGTATTTGCATTTGTCCCTGACATCTTGGCCAGACAAACAAACAAATTGAAACATGCATTGACTGCACAGCATGTACTGTTATTCTATACCTCAAAATAAAACTAACCCACTTAAAGAGTTTTCAATGACTGAGATAGTTAATGGGGATGAAGAAAAACATATGAAACGTAATTTCAGTCCAGTGAATCACCAACCCACCTACTCTTTTGTCTTAATGTTGCCTGTTCACAGAGTTTACATGTATTACAGCAAAACTGACATGGATAAAAAACACCTCAAGCAAAAGCAAAGCATATTAAGCATATTAAAAGTACATTAAGAACATACTTGCAATCCTGTTGTGACTGGCAGTAATGCGGGTCAGGTGATTGAGGTGCACTGAAAAATAAAGGAAAATCAGAAAAAGAAAGACAAAAAGTAAGATAGTACATCTAGTCATGACATGGTGGATTACAGTTGTCCATTTAGCATTATTACACTTATCATGGTGATCTTACTTGTAAATTTAAATGTAATATATAAATTTAATATACAAATGGAAAGAACTGGTTATTATGCATGGTTTGCTACATTTATTCAAACATGTCTACACACTGGTTTGGGAACTGCTTTCCAGTTAAGAGTTATCGTAATTAGTTATACTTAAACGCTCAGTGGATCTCACATTCAACATGCCCTCAATAACAGTGATAGCAAACCAATAAGCATATCATATATTATTATTGGTATACATGTATATCTGATATTGTTAATCTGTAACTTTCTCTTTGTATACAAGTTTTAACTCTAGACTGTGAGAGTTGAGCATGTTTCAGGGTAGATATTTCACACTTTCATCAGCTATGAGCCCTAACCCAAAGATGAAAACAGTGTGATCATTTAAATGGTGACAGCTGCTGAAAAAAAATTAAGATTAAAGTATGTTCCATTCTGTGTCTGCTGTATTCTTTTCTTAAAAAAAACAACCCAAAATTTGCTCATGTGATGTGTAGCCACACTGTAAGCAGGGTGACCCATTTACCCTGGTGCTGCCATAATAACATGAACAAACATCTGCATTTACAAGATTTGTTTGTGTTTAGTCATTTTACAATGTTTACATGATCATTTTGATTTGATATAACATGTATGCAGATTTATCCGTTTTTATTTCTTTTGCATTGAGTGGCTGTTTACAAAAGGTAAAACAAAAAACCCAAATCTACCTGCTTGTTCTTTTTGTACCCAAGTCCCTCTTGCCAGAGACCATATAATCTATTATATGGTCTCTGCCCTTACATGTCGGCATATCTAACATGATGATTAACACAGATGCTAACAAAGTAGGATACAACATCCATGAACCGATGAAGGCGATCCTCCACCCTAATCTAACGCTCATCTTAATAAGTATCATGTTTTACACTCTAACAGCCTAGGTATTTGCATCTGGTCTATCTAGTATTCTATGCGTTCATGACTCAAGTCACTCACTTAGTCCGGGAACGTCGGAACCCAGCTGAACGATTCCTCGATCAACAAGGTCAATTTCAGGATCCCTCTTATCCCGATTTTCCTCTATAACTTTCTTCAACTTATTAGCCATGTTGATCGAGTCCCTGAAAATGCAATAATCTGAAAATGCTCAAAGAATTCTACACATTTCCTTTAATGGCAATATCCTTCCGGAAGTCATATAGCGGAAGTTGACATTTCCCAAAGCTCCACCCCATTACGTGCTACGGTAAAACTGGTTCTAAACTTTTTCCGCACCGCGTGCTACGTCGACATTTGTACTGTGCAGGCCATAGTGCGCCTTGTATTCACTGGTGCTTAAATCATATGTGTCTCTCATAGCGATCTTTGGCCGACCTTTCATACCTTGTCCTTTAAACATAGACTTACATTTAAATTTAAATATTTCGCGTGAAAATAAGACAAATTCAGATTGACGTACATCGTTAGACATATGGACAAAGTCACAGTGTGTCGTACTCATTGTCTGCTTTCTGTCACCAAAGATAGCCGTTCTACAATGTGTACATGTTGACGACCGAGCTGAGGAAACACCTGGTCAGAGTCAACACAGACCATTACTTTATAGACTCTGGCGTAAGGAGAGGAAAAACATCTCCAGCCATTGAATAAAAGCGATGAAAACAAATTCAAAGTCATAAGAAATCTCTTTTGCATGTCGAAACTAGGGCATGTTACTTCGGAAATGTCTTTTACATGTCTACCATAAGACGAATGTTGTAATTATGATCAAACAATCACTGAAATATTGTTGGACATAAGTACAAAGTTGAACACATATGCTTCTTGTAATTCAGCCTTGTGGACATCAATTTTGTCACTCAGAATCTGTATACAAAGATCTATGAAAGATATGAAACAGATGAGGCGATTCCTCTGGTCTGTTCTATTTCTTCTTGGGACTGGTAAATCTGATGAAGGGAAATTGTCTATCTGCCAATTATTGAAAAATAATACTGACAAAGTTAGTAAAAACAAGCAATGTTTATTTACTACATTTGTACATGACTTACTAAGCTTCCATAGTCTAAATAATTAACACGTCTGTATTCCAGAAAAATGTATGTCATTGATCAGCCCATATTCACAATGGTGCTGTATTATTGCATGTATGAAACATTGATTCGCGGAAAATCTATTATTCTGGAATTTAACAGTTAAAACCTTCACAAGAGTCAAAATGGTGGACATAAAGAATGCATGATGGTGTATATATATGATATATGATGTCAATAAGAGAATATAAAACTTTTGATGAAAGGGTTGCACTATATTGCGTTGTAGTGAGTGACTTCGCAGCATTTAGCTTCACACGGCGGGGAACACCACGGCTTCACACGTTGTACCCATGGGGAATCGAACCCGGGTCTTCAGCTTACGAACGGACGCTTTATCCATTAGGCCACCCCACCGCCCCATAATGCGTTGTACATAGGGCGGTGGGGTAGCATAACCCGCTCCTTGTGTAGTTCATATGAATAAACTCGTATTCCAGCCAAGGCCTACATCACCTTGGTATCGTCTAGTTATATGCTGGACTAGCTCCTTGTGAAGCCGCGGTGGCTGAGCGGGACAAGCGGCTGACTTGAGAATGTGTGCTGGCGATTTGGTGCCTGACTCTGAGGATGTGGGTTCGAATCCCAAATGTGACTCAACCCAACAAAGTACTAGAATCTGTACTTTACTGAGAAAGTGTATTCCCAAATATAACATGTTACATCTGACCCTACTAAATGGCATTGTGTATTCAAGGTAATTATTTATTACGAAGAAATCATATAGGCCTATACTTCATATATTAATTAATACAAACATGGCATCATCTTCTACAAAATTATTATCACAATTTATAAGTCGCAGTTCTTCCCTAGCTGTAATAACGACCACAATCAGTCTTTATATAGAGTGCAATCTGTACTGAATGTTGTATTGTAGCTCATTTCCTGGGTGCTTTCCCAGGCTATACATCTTGTAGACAGGAGCCCAGTCAATCGTCAGGAGTTTTACGAGCTCCTTGCAGTGACAAAAGAATTTTCTACTGAGCTCCCCACAGCGAAGTTTAACGACAGATATAGTGCAAATTAGTCATGCGCGTCAGTTTGGAGTGTGAGGAGCTTGCAACAGACAGTCAAAAGTCCTCACGCGGAACCTAACATAACGGTATTGTAGAGGAGCTTGGACATCCCTAACATCGTGGTTTGTCGTTCGGTTGGACCTATTGATCGAATCGTCATTAAAGGTGAGGTGCCCAGTGTGACGAAGGTGACCAAAAACATCGGAAATATTTTGAGTACACATGCATGTGTGTTATGCACGTGACATCTGGAAGTTGACAAACTTAGGCACAATATGACTGATGATAATAACAGATCTACCTGAGGTTGAGCCAGTAGCCAGTAAATTACCGATAGCATGCCAAGTGGTGAAATAACTCTCCAAACCGTGGATCACTTGTCATCCAATCTGCAGTTTAGTCAAGGTTAATATTGTTATCAATAAAGCCAAAGTCGTCAGACCTGTTGCTGGGTGCTATTCTGCCATGCTTAATATTAAAAGCATTCATTTCACTTGCTGTACAGAACTTCAACTTCAGAACAGGTGTTAGTCATATGACAGAACACATGTTAGTTAAAGTATTAGAGGACTCACAGTAAAGGATGTCCGTTTGTGTTTCAATGAGGGAGTATCACAAACCAATGAACTTGATAAAAATTTCCCAAAAATATGTTACTGATTAATACTTCTCCATCATCACCACCATCATCACCGACCACACACCCAACCCAACACCACCACCATCATCATCATCATCATCATCATCATCATCATCATCATCATCATCATCATCGTCACCATCATCATCAGGGGCAGTGGGTTAGCCAAGTGGTTTAGTGGTTCACGCCGAAGACCCTGGTTCTATTCCCCACATAGGCACAATGTATGAAGACCATTTTGGGTGTCCCCTGCCATGATGTTGCTGGAATATTGCTAAAAGCGGCGTAAAACTTAACTCACTCATCATGATGATGTTTCAGTGTGAAGTAGAAGATATTAATGTGCTAGATGTGTGTCTTTCAATACATTTCCATGTACCAGTGTTTCAGGGCAAAGAAGGAGACATCAATGAATGGTCTGGTAGAGATGTGTGCCCTGACAGGGCATGAAGAGAGAGTGTGGGGCCTGGCATGGAACCCCTCAGGGACGTTGCTTGCCTCGTGCAGTGGGGACAAGAGTGTCCGCATCTGGGGACAGGAGGGAGACAACTGGGTATGTAAGACAGTGCTGACCGACGCCCACCAGCGGACAATCCGGTCAGTGTCATGGTCCCCATGCGGCAACTACCTCGCCAGTGCCAGCTTCGATGCAACCACATGCATATGGAGTCGGAAGGAAGGGGAGTTTGAGTGCATTGCCACCCTGGAGGGCCACGAGAATGAGGTGAAGTGTGTGGTGTGGGCGCCCACAGGAAACATGCTGGCTACATGTAGTCGGGACAAGAGTGTGTGGATCTGGGAAGGTTAGCTGCTAATTTCTGCTTTGGACATGTTTAGATGTTGTTAGACATCATCAGTTGTAAACAGATTTGAATATATAAGGATCATTAACATGAGGATTTCAAATGGTAGTTTATTATCAGATGAAAATCCTCAATCAGTGTGTAGATTTATTGAGTGATGTTTCAGGTATTTTACTGGGCCTTTCTACTTGCGAGTCTGATCCATGGATTTTACGGGTCACCGGGTGATGACTTAAAGATCACATATACACTAATTGGCAGCGTTATAAATGAAACCCTGTCATTAAAACTACTCATTTCGATCTTTAATTAACTTAAATCGACCTTTTTGACTGACAACAGTGCACAATTCTCACCCACGGACGAAATTTCAACCAATAATTATAAATATTTTGTGAAGCCTTGTGCGAAGTATGAAAGGGATTGTCAAAGTTTAAAAAAGAAATACAGATTGAATTGACTGTAAAATGAATGGGATGTTACCATGGCTACAACTGAGTTTATTTGACCATCCAGTTGCTTGTATACAGTCTATATTGCAGTCAGTCCGTGGGGCATGTCAACGTGACCAAAGTCTGATTGTAGTATTTGTTTCCATCAACACTGAACATGTAAATATTCATATCATCACAAACCATATCAAAGTTGTGAATTATTTGGTGTGTTCAATCCATATGTCGAACATAATAGTAGCTATTAGCAGTAGTTAAAGAAGAAATGGAACATTAACTCATGATAAAGATGCAAGATAAAAAGGAAAGTGAACCAAAACAACTGGCATAATATACAATAATAATAATAACAATAATAGTAATACTAATTATGCGCCTAGAATCCAACATGATGCTGCTCTTTGGCGATACATTATTACCCTGACAGAATTGTACTTTCAAAGCCGCTACTAAGCACTTCGCGTGACCGTATAGGTCTGTACATCCGCTTCTCAGGTACCCATTTTGAATAGCTGGGTGGACTGAGTGCAATGTGGACGAAGTGCCTTGCCCAGGGACACAACACAGTATGAGACCCAGGTCACAAATTTTGGTGTCTCCACCGGGATTCAAACCCGGGCCTTTGGCGTGAGAGGCCAGCATGCTAACCACTACACCACTGTGCTCCACGCCACATTATGTGTTTCAACAAGGTATTTGATTGTCACTGTTATTGACATCATGGACAATATGTAAACTTTACCAGGGCTCGATTTAGTGCTTTGTTACTTGCACTGGTGCAAGCCAATATTACAAAGTGCAACGTAGTTATTATTCTAACTTGCACCAGGTGCAGGTAATTTTTTTAGTGGGTAAACTTCTGAATAAAACATCTAAATAATTCAATAGCATATTTCTTTCATTACATATTGCCATGAAATCAGTGCAACTGGAAGTTGGCTGGTGCAGCTAGGTTTTTATCTTAGGTTGCACCTGGTGAAAGTAGGTAAACATCACTTAAATCGAGCCCTGTTTACCCTTTATCATGTTTATACTGCAGTACCTTGGTATTACTCCTTGTTGTTTCAGTGACAGACGAGGAGGAGTATGAGTGTGCCAGTGTGTTGAGTGTACACACCCAGGACGTGAAACACCTGGCCTGGCACCCCACCAGGGACATCCTCGTCTCCTGCAGCTACGACGACACCATCAAGTTTCTGAGGGAGGACAACGATGACTGGACGTGTTGTTCCACGCTGGAGTCCCACACCTCCACCGTGTGGGACATATCATTCGACAAATCAGGGACGCGCTTGGCATCCTGCAGCGATGATACATTAGTGAAGGTCTGGCAGGAGTATGTCCCAGGGAACAAGGAGGGTGTGGTCACCGTGGGCAGTGACCCCACATGGAAGTGTGTCTGTACCCTGTCTGGCTACCATTCCAGGTGCGTCTATTCCATTGACTGGAGTCACCTGACGGGGCACATTGCGACAGCAGCTGGCGATGATGCAGTGAGGGTGTTTGTGGAAGACGCAGGGTCTGATGTGAACCAGCCACATTTCAGTTTGCTGACTACTGTTCATGGGGCACATTCACAGGATGTCAACTGCGTCACCTGGAACCCCAAAGTGGCAGGACTTCTGGCATCTTGCAGTGATGATGGCTCTGTCAAGCTCTGGCGACTGACCGAACAGCAATGACAGCTCTGTCAAGCTCTGGCACGTGGCTGATAGCAATGGCAGCTCCGTCAAGCTGTGACAACTGACTCAACAGCAATATAATTGCTCTGCCATGCTCTGGCTTGGGCTGAACACCAACTGCAGCCTTGCCAAGCTGTGACGACTAACTGAACATCAGTAATTGCTCTGTCAAGCTCTGGCACATAGTTGAACAGTGATGACAGTTTCGCCAAGCTGTGACGACTTACTGGGAATCAAATGTTCAGGGTAACCAACACATTGTACCCTTATATAACAGCCAGTGAGTTTCCTGGAAGATGTAAATATGAAGGATGATCAAATTATCTGTACAAGGGGCAGCAAATTCCAGCCATGAATATTATCACACCTGTTCTTGTTTCATGTTCTGCATATTCCTATAGTAAGCAAATACACTCCAGATTTTGTTGTAGAAAGTTACTCACCACTAATGTACATTAATTATAAGTTTGAGATTGAGGAGGTCTTCCTTCAATTAGCTTCACTGCACACACCAGGTCTAGAACTACCCTTCCCCTAATGTATGCCACTCAAACATCTTTTCTTCCACTGTGTAGTAATTATTGAGGACACAAAATTATCACCAAATATTGTTTCCTGTTTGTAATTGTATGTGATATCAAAATGTTGTCTAATATTGATTTTATGTGTTAAAAAAATATGTTAATATGAAGAATATTATGTTTGTTTTATTTTCATCATATTTCATTCATGAAAGCAGGTATTTAGTTCATACTACCATTGTACTTTGGGGACATTGTTGGTTATCCATGAACTTGAAAAGGATAATGAAGCAGTCCTAAAATATCGCTCAGCCGCTGTTTGTGGCGCTATCGCTGTTCCAGTGGATTCCGTTCGTGACCAACTCGTGTTATTCCGGGCCAAGCGGAAAACAGGTTTCGGAAAGGGAGGAGTGTTGACGAATGGCACAAAGGCTGGTGTGGCGAAGCGCACGTAATTTATCAACGTCCGGTGTACAACCACGAGAGCCGTGACGGTGATGTCCATGGAACGTGATGTGCCTGTATCAGCAAACTGGTTTTGAGAGACTAGAGATAGGTTGGTTTGTGGTAGCCCTTTAACACGGAACATGTGAAAAATCGGCCTATAAGAACGCATTTTTCCGGCAGTCGCGGCGACTGATAACTGTTTTCAGAACTGTTTTTCTTAACGCTCGCAACGACGCATGCCACGTTTCAGTCAATCAATCAGTCAGTCATTCGCCATCTTTGATAATTTAATTTGTTTAATGTGTCACATTTTTCTCAGTCCATAACCATATTATAACCCCTTCCACTCCGCCATTACTGGAACCCTTTATCGCTAAATAAGTAAGTATACATTGTCTGAAAGTCTGGGGCTACTTTTCAGTTTGTTGCTGCTTGTTCCAATCAAAATTGTTTGTGTTCAGACTTGTCGTTAAGCCCTGTGTCACTTTTTACAGAGTCAGTAGTAGACTGAGTACCAGGGCTGTGGGCGTGTACCAAACAGTAGAGCAGTGTCCTTTTCATACTGATCCAGAAAAGCACCCCTTTGTCCTGAAAGTTTATTAAATGACCATTGAAACTCGGATGAAAATGACATGTGCACCCCCCCTTTCTAAAAAAGCTGTATCCGCCCCTGTACTGTATAAAGTGTTCATTGAGTGAGTTGGGTTTAACACCGCGGTGATCAGTATTTCATTTATATCACGGTGTGTAAGCTTCATGTGGAAGGGGAGCAGATAATTACCACCCACGAACATGTGTATGGTGCTGACAATCTTAGCATCATAATCTGAGAGGACCTGGATTCGAACCTCAGATGCAAGGATTTGGTGACTTTCGCGGCTAAGGGACGCAACTCTGCAAAAGTCTACTGCAGCGCCTAAGACTCTCATGCTACCCCTTCTACAGATGCTGTTAGGTGATCTGTCACTGTGGCGGCGTTGTAGGGCTTGTGTCCAGATGGCCATCAACTGCTTGCAACAGTTTTATGAGAGACAGGTGGAGGACATTTCCATATTTGGCACATCTGTGACAAACATTATGTCAGATGCAGTTTCCTATTTTGACCATACATTATTACAGGTGAACACATGTTTTTGCTCCTGTTTTACCAACGGCGAGGCAGGATACGCTCACCTTTCTCGAGCATCTGACATCGTCACTTCTCCACAGTGATTCCGTTATGATTAGTCAGAATCGAACCATGAATCCGTTTAGAAATTTCTTGTGACTATGGAAGACAAATTTTGTCACTGTTTAACATTCTAATTATTTCAGTACTCTGTATCCGTGTCTCCTTCGTAAACGTTTTCACCAAGTCTTGTGGTATTGAGCCCACGTATCTTAGCCATGTATTAAGCTAAATAACAAGCAAGGTATTTAGGGCCGTTGAGGTATGAGCCAGTGGGATCGATGGGGAGACAACAAACAAGGCTGTGGATCATGATTGGTCAGGGCACTGTCAGTCTGTATGGGCCTGTATCGACCTCCAACAAGCATGTCGCATTCAAGTCACATGACTCCAAGGACTCCTCAAACTAGGCCTGGTACTCCAAGGTGTCTGATATAGTCTTATTTCACGGATAAACATATTTTTATATATTCGGTTATTATTTTCTGAATGTAACAGGGACCGAATGTCATGGTCAGCTGACGGGAGACCAGTGGTCGAAACATATAGATTTATCCACTGTGGACAACAGCGATAATCCCCACCAAGTATTGGATACCGTTATATATACTGTACACGAACCTCGTGATGTAACCAGTTATAACCTGTAATAGACCGTGACACTTATTCATCATGGGAGGTGTGAACGAGAGAGAAGCTAATTATGGTAAGTACGACATCGTTTATTTCACCTATTTTAATTTGGAGATGTTGGCACCGTCCACAGCTGCAGGTTACTGGTTTGCGAGTTTAGAAGATGTCACAACATTCTGTTTGAGATAACTGTGTTGTTATTGTATTGCGATTGTGTATGAAGGAAACCTATATGTATGTATTGGTGCCAGTGTGTGCCCCATTTGTAGTAAAAGTTGTACAAGGTGGATGTTTTCTGTTCGGCACACATGCGTATTCTTGATACAGGATTTCTACAGAGTGACTTGTTACAGAAAATGGTTGCCATCAACATCAACATCACAACACACATCAGTTCAAGCTGGTTGCCGTCTAACTCACAAAACATCAGTTCAAGCTGGTTGCCGTCTTACCCACAAAACATTCACAACACACGTCAGTTCAAGCTGGTTGCCGTCTAACTCACAAAACATCAGTTCAAGCTGGTTGCCGTCTAACTCACAAAACATCAAGTTCAAGCTGGTTCTAACTCACAAAACATCAGTTCAAGCTGGTTGCCGTCTAACTCACAAAACATCAGTTCAAGCTGGTTGCCGTCTTAACTCACAAAACATCAGTTCAAGCTGGTTGCCGTCTAACTCACAAAACATCAGTTCAAGCTGGTTGCCGTCAGTTAAGCTGCACAAAACAACTCACAACATCAGTTCAAGCTGGTTGCCGTCTAACACAAAACATCAACAAGTTCACAAACATCGCTGGTTTAACTCACAAAACATCAGTTCAAGCTGGTTGCCGTCTAACTCACAAAACATCAGTTCAAGCTGTTGCCGTCTAACTCACAAGCTGGTTGCCGTCTTACTCACAACACAACACAAAACACATCAGTTCAAGATGGTTGCCGTCTAACTCACAAAACATCAAATGGCTGCCGATAATTTGCTTTACATATCTGATTCCATATACTGCTTTCATATGTAACCATATTTGTCCCATTATCATATTATTATATCGATGAATTTTAGTTCCATACAGCTGTCACTATTAAAGATTAAATGTGTGCACATTGAATGTCGCATTTAAGAGCATACATCCACGTTTAATTTGAATGTTTGTCAAGTGTATACACACTGAACACCCGTGAAGATCCGGGTTAGTGGTCTTCATTAACCCATGCGACTAACGGGATCGAGTGCTGAGGCTCGCTGACTTGGTTGACACATGTCATCGGTTCCCATTTGCGCAGATCGATGCTCATGTTGTTGATCACTGGATTGTCTGGTCCAGGCTCGATTATAGCTGGAATATTGCTGAGTGCGGCGTTAAACAATAAACCAACCAACCAGCACACTAAACTCATACCAGCTCTCGAGGTCTAAAGTGACTTTATTTTGATGCGGTAAGTAAAATGTAAAACAATATTAACCAATAGCCTATAAAACAGGTTCAAAACGATTTGTTCACACAGTGCAATATATATTAAAATAATAATACACATTAAGCTACAGAAACATCGACTCCGATCGTTACCTGAAACAATCAGTTGTATCACTGGAGCACCACAGACACCTGATTAAAAACACCCAGTGATCCCACTCCTTCCACATACCGCATCGATAGGTTACTTGTCACCTGGACTCATGATGGGTTGAACAGATGGGAAGCAAATAAACAATCGATTTAATTCTTTCTGAATTTATCTGTGTAATCTGTGTAAATTGCTAAACTTTTGTAAGTCATGGACTTAAAAAAATGGCCACATTATTGTACAATTGATAAAATCAAATAGAGAACATTGGATACATCTGCCATCTTGATATGATGTGTATGATATGAATAATATGAATATACTTATGTGCCGCCGTTCGTGGTTTGGAGTGTACCCGATTTGAACTAATTGTATCTGTGTATTTCTGTGTCTGTGTTTAGACTTGTCTGGGGAATGCTGGATATACAATGCTGGTCCAACGAATTACCTAGTCGCATTGTAACACACCCCACTTAGACACAGTACACTGACTCCGAGCTAAATAGTCCTTGTTTTATCGACGAGCCCTTGGCAAGAACAAATACCATGTTTCGGTATGACACCGCCGCGGCCTTCGGTTCACCAAGCAGACGCTCTATCCACTACACCACTATGACGGACATGCTGTCTGTCCGGTATGTGTCTGTCCGGTATGCGTTTATTACACTCAACAATACTTATATATTTAACATATGACATTTATTGTATTTAGTGTATTCAGTTAATTTTATCGTTAAATGCATTTTACGTTGAGTTATCCTTAATAGATGACGACGACCCGTACGGTTACCTAGGACACGAGACCCACCAGCCAATCACCGCCTGGGAGGCTCACTCAGCAGATGAGACGCTGTACGGAATCTTCAATAGTCACGGTATGTAGCGGCCTTGTAGCCTCTCGGTGGCGTTGGTCACAGTCAACTCAAAGACATGAGACCAATTCTGTTATGGCATGGTTTACATGTGAGTGACAAGCACGATATCTGCTGCAAGCTACTATTTTGACTCGTAGTGTACGTTCTCGTGTGTTTTTCAGGTGAACAAATGACATTCCTTTGCATGTGTTTGTGTCGGCTACCACGTTTCAAATGATGTCATCACTGTTTGATAGCTGTTCATAAACACATAACCATGATATTGTAGGAATCGTACAGTCGATTCTTCTTTCAGCAGAGATTTCCTATGAAATTTCTAGAAAGTGTTTTGTCGCGACCATTTAATCACAGTATATGGATTAACCCATCTTACTGAAACCTTATACTCCCGATATCTTATCCCAACCATAAACACACAAAGAATATACTTCACAACATCCTTATCAATACAATCCACGTATATCAAATCTTTCATATTCTTCC